TCACTGAACTGTTTGGGAGGAATAGCAAGGAAGAGGGAGGAGCCCACAGTGGTCGAATTCCCCCCACGGAGTTTTAACTCTTGACACATCCGGGTTGCCCTTGAGTGGACCCAGAGTGCCCCTGGGTGTCTCACACCTCAGCAGCCACAAAGAAGTCCAGGGCAGGTGCAAGAGGAGTGTGGCACGGGTGTGACATAAGACCCTTTGGGACTGTGCCTATGCGAAGCTGGTCGGTGTCCACGCAGAGCTGGCCACGTGGGGAGAAGGAAGTGGCTCATGGCCCCGGAGACAGGTGAGGAGGGAGAAGCCAACGATACGAATCAGAAGGGGCTGCTGCTCCAATGAGGGTGTCTCTCGCATCTCTGTACCTGCAATGCCAAGCACAGCTGGGCATTCCCTAATCGTTGAACACTCGCCTCCACTGGAAACCTTCCCTGATTCATCCTGCAGCTCTATTTCCAGACCTTCTTTTCTGCGTTCAAAGGGCATTTAGAAAGAGAATCCCACTTTGAAATCTTACCGCTCCTACACTGGCGGTGTAAGGCTTGAACTCAGGTCCTCCCATGGGCTTTGCCCTGCTGAGCACCTCGTTCCTCCCAGGCATTCATCCGCTCCAACCATAATCCCTTCCCAGGCTCCCTCCCTCAAGTCCCAAACCTCTTTTCTGCTTCTCTGGCTTTGAAGTTTAAGCTATTTAAGTGGAAACATAGATGCATTTGAAAGATGTGGTGGAACCAGGGTTTTGAAACGTAACAAATAAGATTGTACAAGGCAACGAGATAGGTAATCAGCTGCTGCTTTCACTACTTGGAGAGGTTCATGTAGTGGTCAGCAGACTCTGCTTCTCGCCTGGTCAAGGGCTATAAATCATTCTCCACTAAAGGCAGCCATTGCCGTACAGGATCTTACCAAGGCAGGACGAGGATAAACAGTAAAAGAGGATGTGTTTGGCTGGATGCAGAGGGTCTCAGGGAGATGTTTGAGCCTAGGTAGAGTTCTCTACACCAAGGTCATGATCTCCTGTGATGCTCAATAAAAAATGCATTGCATCAGTTCAGGATGCTTTGGGCTGCAATTCACAAAGACCCCAATCCAAACGGGCTTCAACAATAAGAACAACCTTATTCATGTAACCAGAAGTACAAAGGTAGGACAGCTTTCAGGCTCAGTTGAGTCGGTGGTTTAATGACACTGTCATCAAAGACATAGCTTCCTTCTGTCTCTCTACTCTGTGGTCCACCTTGTCGGCTCTGTTCTAAGACCGGCTCACCTTGCTGTCACGAGGCAGGGCCACATACCTCGTATTCAGCAGGGGAGAGAATCTCTTCTGGTGCCGTGCAGAGCAAGTCCTTTCATTCTGTCTGGGGTGGCTTCCCCAAGGCAGAAACAGTTCCCAAGATGATGCCAAGAACGATTGGAATCAGACCAAAGAGAACCCCCCTCCCCACCCTTGCCCCGGAGCTGGGGTGGGACCCAGAAAGCCTGGTGACCTGCAGGGAAGGTAGAGGGAGCAGGGAATGGATACTGACGGACACCCAAGAAAAGCCTAGCCCGTTACAGGCTCCTGAGGTTCTCAGGGGCACACAAAGTGAGACCCACTGTGTAGGGAGGAATTCGAACTCAGGCTCTGCAGAGACTTGAGATGACACAGACTGGACCTCACTCAAAACTGAGCCCAGTGATTATTTCCCCATTAAAAATGCAAAGTCAGCCAAATTTGATCTAACTGGGAATTAATCAACATAGCCCTTTTCTAAAATAATTGAACTGAGATGAAACCGAGTGTAAATGTAAAAGTGTTCCCTAGACCAGCTCAAGAGCCTCAGTTCTGGCCGCAGAAGTGACAGAACAGGGTGACTCTGAGAAGAGGATGTGGTCCAGTGGCCTGCGGGAAGCTGTGGGAAGCTGCAGCACAGGAGGGAGTCTTAGCAGCCCGAACCCCGTGATGCTGCAGTTGCCACTTAGAATCCAGCATCCAAAACAAATAAGGACTTATTTTTTTGAAAAACAGCTGCAAGGCAGTGGAAACGACACAAATTGGAAGTGAGAACTGTCTGGAGGCTTGGTTATAGACTGCGCATCAGTGGTATGACCTTGAACTTCCTCCATTCTCCGTTTCTTTATTGTGAAATAGTATAATTCGCATAACTCAGATGAAATGTTAGAGGCAGGCAACACTTTGTGGAGGACGAAAAGACATGGGGACATCGGCCATTGCTCTGTGTGTCTCCTCCCGGGGTCCAGCCTTCCTCCCCAGCCCTCCCTCTGCCTTCCAGACCCCCTGTCCTTCAAGGTCTAGCTCACACCCTGGCTCCTCCCTGACCTCCAGGACTCCTCTGCCTGCCCCCTGCAGGTGTCCTCTGCTCTCTCCCACCTGTTATTTACACGGGCTGTCTGCCACCTGCTTCTGTACGGCAGTCCCAAACTGTCAAATATACTCTTTTTTTTTTTTTTTTTTTTTTTCGGTATGCGGGCCTCTCACTGTTGTGGCCTCTGCCGTTGCGGAGCACAGGCTCCAGACACACAGGCTCACCGGCCGTGGCTCACGGGCCCAGCCGCTCCGCGGCACGTGGGATCTTCCCAGACCGGGGCACGAACCCGCATCCCCTGCATCGGCAGGCGGACTCTCAACCACTGCGCCACCGGGGAAGCCCCAAATATACTCTTATTTACTCTCCTGTTTGTGATTGTCTCCCCAACTCACCTGTACCGGCAAATAAAGAACAGTCTCCCACCTCTTTGTAGCTTGGCTTGTGGGAGTGAAACAAGCCTTGAAATCACGTTGCCTTTTGAGTGATAACTCAGAGGTGAAATGATCTGCCAAAAGTTACTCAAGCTCAGACGGTTGGGTCAGTACTAGAAGCCAGGCCCCTGGATGCCCAGTGACACTCTCAATGTGGTGGAGGTGCAAAGGGGAGCCTGACTTTACAAATCATACAGCTCCTCCCAGGGTGCCTAGTCGAAATGTGTAATAATGACAAGCGTCTCTGAAGGGTGGGTGCTGCCTGGCAAAGGCTTGAAGGCAGAAGAAAGGTTGGGGGCCACTGGGGCAGTGGGCTTTGGGGCCAGGCTGGTCTAGGCTTGAGCTTGTCACTGCCCGCACTGTCTGGTCTAGGGCAACCTTGGTCCATTGAAGTCGGAAGTGCTTTTTGAGCTCATGCGTGCCAGATGCGCTCAGCAGAGATCAGGATAGAGGTGTCCTAGCTTGGGCTGCATTATAGCCTACTGGGCAGTGTTTCCAAGCGGGGAATGAAGGGTTTTATCCTCTCTAAGCCCCTTAGGGAGTTCTGAAGGATACATGAGGCAATGCAGGGGCTGCAGCCCTCAGGGTGCCCGCAGGAAGTGGGTGCTCAGGAGAGGCTGGCTCGTGCTTCTCACCCCTTCCGCACCTTCTCATGGACTCTCCGTCCATTGTCCAGTCAATGAGAATAGTTAGGAATGCTCCTGTCATCAAGTTCCAGCCTCCTTCAGGAACGGTTGGGGACAGAGTCTCAACCAGGGAAGAATGTCCAGGAGTTGTCCTGGGGCAGTGAAATGTACAGAGCGCAAACACACTAAACCTGAACTTTGAAACAGTGTAACCACCGCCCCCCTCCAGGACTGCACACTCCTCCCAGCCTCTCAGTCACTCCTGCCACTGGGTAGAGCAGCCTTGACGCCTGGCCAGCCCCTCCAACAGCGGCAGAGCCGGAGGGGCAGGACAGCAGGACAGCATGGAGGGCAGGCAGCTCCTTGGGGGTTCTGCTGTGGGCTGTTACCTGCCTCAAGTTGAGAGCCGTTTTGTGGGCTGCCCACCCAGTGCGCCAGCAACTCAAGCTCTAGATCTGGTCGTCCACCCTCAATTTCCTGGGGACTGGACGGGTCCTCGGTATTGCTGCCTGTTAAATAACTTTGAATCCCTCAAGTAGGAGAAATCTCAGTCCCCAGTGGAGGCAAAGATAGGAGATTCCACTCCTGTATGAGGCAGCCTTGCTCACTTAAGACTTGACAAGCAGGTGGGTCTTTGTGTAAAGGAAAGATGGACTTTCCTCCAGGTGGACTCAGCCCTACCCCAGGGCATAGCTGGGCAAGGGGTGCACAAATTGCATTTCAGCCCCAACTTGCTCCGCATCCAGACATCTTTGTGCAGTGCACAGAGCACACAACTGAACATGGCAGCCCTAGCCACAAGTATGTATTGTGTGCTCCCCGTGAGCTGACACTGCAGGAACAAGACAAGACATAATCCCTGTGCTTGTGGAGCTCACATACTAGTGGGAGAGACTGACCACAAACAGGTCAGGCTATGGTGAAAACAATACAGGGTGAGAGAGATGCTGTAAAGCAAAGCTGGATGTGGTGATAAGGAGGGACAGGCTTGGAGGAGGGACTTAATTTAGAGCTGGTGGAGGTGGGGGTGAGTGGTTTGCGGGGAGGAGTTGGGGGCCAGAAGCCAAACCCAGAAAGAGTTCAGCCTGTTTGAGAAGCAGGTTGCTCAGTGGCTGGAAAGGGGTTTGGGGGCAATGTCAGAAAGATGAGCAGGGCCAGGCTGGGCAAGCACTTATCGGTCACTGCAAGGAGTTTGGATGTCTTGCAAATGTCTGTGGGGCCACAGACATTTCTGAGGCATTGGGTGCAGAAGCGGAGGGGGAGGAGGAATAAGAGAGAAAAAACTAGGAGGAGGGAAAACAAAGAGGCAGGTGGCACAGATGAGAGCAGTGGAGGGAAGGCCACCGTGATAGGCCTGGGGCACAGCTGTAGGGTGCATGGGGAATGGATGAAGGGGGGTGGACGGACAGGGCTGACATCTCAGCAGGCCCTGGCGTGATTCATGATGTTGGGGGTTCTGCTGCGCTTGGAGGTGATATTTTGCCTTCCCAAGTCATGGTCCTCAGAGCAGAAAGGAGCCACAGCCCTCCCTCTGCCTCCCCTGAAAGCTCAGGTCGTCTACTGTTATTTCTGGGGGTGGGAACAGGCAGGAGATCCTCTCGTGGACTAACCAGAGTGATTTGTGTGTGCAGTTCAACGTCAAAAAGTCCACAGAGCCCGTTCAGCCCCGAGCCCTCCTCAAGTTCCCAGATATCTACGGCCCCAGGCCGGCTGTGACGGCCCCCGAGGTCATCAACTACGCTGACTACATGCTGAGGACCACAGCGGAGCCCGCTGCACCTGCCAGCCCTCAGGTCCCGAATGACAGCCGCCTCAAGAGGCAGGTCACAGAGGAGCTGTTCGTCCTTCCTCAGAATGGTAGGGGTCTCTGCCCCTCACTCTTCCATGGGCAGTACTCAGCGAGGGGTGAAAGCATCTCTGTAGATGGTGGGCATGGCCAGCCCCAGTGTCCGTGGCATTGGACACTGGGCAAGCAGTGGGCACAGCACCTTGGAGTTACAGCCCTTTAGCCCTTGATTCCCTGCATGTTCCCACATTGCGTCTCCCCAAGGCCTCCAACTTTCCACTGGGAAATGGAGAGTCCCTTTCTAGACATGGGCACCACTATAGAGAGGGGATAAAGAGCTGCGGTCAAACTACGGGCTTCAGAGTCATGGGTTTAATCTCTCCCCTTTTATATACCCATTGTGTGACCCTGGTCACGTTGCTAATCTTTTGGGGGCCTCAATTTCCTCGTATATAAAATGGGATCATACTATCACCTGCCCAGTAGGGTTGTTGTAAAGTATAAACATAATAATGCATAGAAAGTGTTTAACTCAGAGCCTGGCCCAAGGATGTAATCAAAACATCATCATTAGTATTGTTTCTATTCTCCTTCTCATCACCATCAACATCAAGAATGTCACACCTTTCTGTGTACAGCACTATGCTGGACACTGGGGCAGATATGAAAGCAGAGACAGCGCCTAACCCAAGGGAGCATGCAGACTTTCATAAGGAGACAAGAAATCCAGCCAGGAGAATGGATCGCTACATGGTTTGTGTGGTTGGAGAGGGAGATGGTGCAAACAGGAGCAGCGTAACTGGCTAAGGCATCTTCTGGCCTGGGGCCAGCACCACGCTGGCCAGTGAACAGGTGCCCCCCCACCAACCCAGCCCAGAACCACAGTGATTATGCTGGCATTTCTTCAAGAACAAATACAGATAGTGTTGGTGGCAGGAGCGAATCCTGGTTGGCTTTTAGCCTCCAGGTTTGCCAGCTCACATTTTAAATTAAAATAAACCCATTGAGGCCTTGAGAGCTTAAGCTTGGAGGGTGGGGAACAATTTGCATGAGGACCCTTGGGAGTGGTAATCAGAATCAGAAGCAGAATCACAGGAGGGCTCCTTGGGAGCCCCAGACTTCTCAAGGCTGGGATGAAGCCAGGCTTGGCCACTCTCCACCAAGGACAGCAGCAGGGTACTTCAGAGTCTGAAACTTTGAAGAATTCACAACACATCCATTTGTTTTCTCTTTCTGGTTCCTCATTCCTTTCCCCACCACAGAAGGCAACAACCAAGTTCTGATTCCACTGAAATCTAAGAGCTGTTTGGTTCAGCAAATACTGACCAGAGGCCAGAGTGTGCAGAGGGAGAGGACACCAGATTAGACACTGTCCCCATGATGTGCGCAACTCAGTCTACTCCCACCATCAATGATTTTCATCAGCCCCTTTTAGAGCTCAGGTCCCGATTCTTTTTTTTTTTTTAATTGAAGTATAGTTGATTTACAATGTTGTGTTACTTCCTGCTGTACAGCACAGTGAATCAGCTATACATATACGGGGTCCTGGTTTTTGAAGCTGAAACTGCTTCTGCATTTCCCAGGGGTGCTGGGTTTGGTTTGGTCTCGGTTTGGTTTTGATTTTGAAGGCTGAAGCAGTCTGAGACCCGAGAGCTCTGGGTGCCAGGCAAGCCCCCTCTGACACTGTCCATGTGCTGCCCTTGGAAGCCACCCGGGGCCTGGGTGGGTGTTTGTTTGGCTTTACACGTTGCGCTCACATCCTGGTCAACCCATTCCTTGCTTAGACACACCAGGGAGAGTCTTCACTACTTGCAGGAACCCAATAATGAACCATTTTGGAAATTAAATACTCTTTTATATTTCTGCCCTTCAAATTAGTCCTGAAAATCAAAAAAAAAAAAAATTAAATTCCAGTTTGCTACAAGTGGAGTCTCCTCAGCTGCTGGATCCTTTCATTCTCATTATGCCTGACTAATGAGAATCTTCCAGATGTTTGGCTCCTGTCCAAGTGAGGGGCAGAGTGAGCAATATTTGTAGTTTTCAGAACTTCTGAATTAAATTCATTCATTCAGCAAGTATTTACTGAGCATGCTCTAAAGTCAAATCCACTATCTCCAGCCTTGCCCTCCAGTATCTACTCCTGCCTGACTAATTCTCTGACATTTATTTCCAGCCATGAACTCCTGGGGAGCAGGGATTGGACTCTGTGAGAGAGATGGAGCTGGAGATGGGCTGGGGAATGATTTGCTTGAAACAGGATGATCAGGACCACACAGTCTGTGACAGTTTCCCCTGCTGAAAGCTCACCAGGGGCCAGGCCCTGGGCTAAGTACTTTTCTCACTTTATTTCATTTAATGCTCACAGGAACTCCAGGAAGAGGGAACCGCTATCATTCCCATTGTAAAGATGAGGAAACTGAGGTTCAAAGAAGTCAAGTAACTTGTCCAGGGTCACATAACTATTATGTAACAGCTCATGTCTGACGCCAAAGCCCATGTCTTGCCCACTGGGCTGTGATGGTCCCTTGAATGGTAATGCCCGGGACCACAGATGGTCCCCTGGTGCAGCCACCATGATTTTGCACCTGGTTAGGAAGCTTTGGGTTTGGATTTGTGGCAGAGATGGAAAAGGCATGATCTGGAAAACAGGACCCCAGCGTGGGTGGGAGTAATGGCTTTACCTTCTTAACAGGTGTGGTGGAGGATGTCTGTGTCATGGAGACTTGGAACCCAGAGAAGGCTGCCAGATGGAACCAAGCTCCCAAACTTCACTACTGTCTGGACTACGACAGGCAAAAGGCGGAACTATTTGTGACTCACCTGGAAGGTATGTTCTTAGCTGACTTTCACGGCCTTCGGTGTGCTTGTCTCCCCAGAGCATCTGTGGCTGGAGGTAGCACTGGGTACCAGATTAGCACTCTGTAACAAACAAGACCCTGACGTGTGTGATGCTCAGACACACAGGGGTTTTTCCTGTCTCTCATATACCAGTCCAAAGTGGAGATTCCTGGTTGGTGGACATCTTTCCTCCAAATAGTGATTCAGGGACTGGGCTCCTTCCACTGAGGCCTCCTTGTCATCTGTATCTAGCAGGTGGAAGGATGGGGAGAACAGGGAGAGCGCACAACTGTTCCTTAAAAGCTGTATCCTACATAAGGTATGCATCACACCTGCTCACTTCCCATTGGCTGGAACTTGGTCACATGACCACTGACTGCAAAGGACGCTGGGAAATGTGGCCTAGCAGGTGCCCAGTTAAAAGAAGGGAATGGGTTTTGGTGAACAGCTAGTCGTCTCTGCCATAGATGCCTTTGACATTGGACAGGGCCTGTGCTAGACACAGAGGGTATTCTGAATAGTCAGCAAAGCTTTTGTAGTCCTAGAACTAGGTAGTCTTTCCTACAGGGTCAGGATGTCCCTGGTCTCCCTACCCTGACAATTCACTTTACCATCAGCAAACAAAGCCAAGACTTTGCAAAGGAAACGGGGCTAAAAATGCACTATTCTGGGGCTCCTGGAAGCTAGAAGCTGGGGAACCAATAAATTGGAATTTTGTACTTAATTTTATTTTTTTGAGGGTGTGTTTTTCGTTTTTACTTCTTTTATGATTTTTTTTAGTGTTTCATATACTTTCTTATATTTGGACTTCACAGTAGTCCCATTTTACAGTTCGGAAACTGAAGTCTAGCAACGTCAGGTGACTTGTCTAAGGTCACTCCAGCTAACTGGTGCCAGGGCCAGGACTAAGCCCAGTTCCCCTGAAGCTCAGTGCAGGGCTCTTTCTATTAGGACACATGGCCTCAGTCCTTCATCTTCTCTGCCTGGGTAACGCCGGCTACCACTTCTCAAATTATCACTGAGGAACCAGTCCTAAAAGCTCCACAGGTGCAAATTTCCACAAGGGGAAGCCTTAAAAACCCCAAAGTTCAGAATGCAAGACAGCAGTCATGAGGTAGCGGCCAAGCGATTTATATCACAGGTAGTTGTGTGGTAAGTATTTAGTGTAGAGAGCAAACGAATTATGGAATCAGCAGCAAGATGAATGAAAATCATCCGCAGTTTGTGGGCCCTGGCGCCTTGGGGAAATCTCAGAGTCATGAGGAAGATCTCCCATTTCTAAATGTCTTACTGAAAGGCGATTCCACGAAGCCAGTGTCATCAGCCCCTGCGGGATCTTTCAGACGCCCGAGGTCATGACGACTAAGCCGGATTCTGCAGCTCACAGCAGGGCCCTACTTCTCCCTTCCCCTGGTCCTCATAAGCCCTACATCTGGCTGCTTTCTCCCCGGCTGCAGCTGTGACCAGTGACCATGACGGAGGCTGTGACTGCTATATCCAGGGCAGCGTGGCCAACACGATGGGCTCCGTGGAGGCCCAGACGGCCCTGAAGAAGCGGCAGCTGCACACCACGTGGGAGGAAGGCCTCGTGCTCCCCCTGGCAGAGGGGGAGCTCCCCACAGCGACCCTGACACTGACCCTGAGGACCTGCGACCGCTTCTCTCGCCACAGTGTAGCCGGGGAGCTGCGCCTGGGCCTGGATGGGGTGTCGGTGCCTCTGGGGTCTGCCCAGTGGGGCGAGCTGAAGACTTCAGTTAAGGTAGGGTTGCCTCTCCCCGGGAAAGGTAAAACCTGTTAGTGGCACATGGGATGCAGGACTGGGCCAGTGCTCGTGGAACAAACTTCGGAGAACTTCCCAGGCTAGGGGCGGGGGTCTGGAGAGGGAGGCGGGTTATCAAAGTAAGGTGGAGTCTTGAACAGGGTGGGGGGCCGGAGCAGACTGATAGCTCAGGACGGGGGATTCCTGGTATCTAGTTTTGCTTCTAGCTGGCCACGCACACACCCACCCCTGGCCTCGCCATCATGGAAAACATCGCATTGTGAGTGAATTGGCTCTGGTGCTAACAATATTATCCCCATTTACAACCACTCTTACTCCCCACGCACCTAGTGTGAGCCAGGCAGTGCAGTGCAGAGGAGCGCCGGGCAGAGCCCCTCTACTCGTAGAAAGTACAGGCCTGAGGGAGAAGTTGGAACAGATGATGATGACGGTGATGATGGCTATGATGATGATGACATCTGACATAAGGCATCTAAGAGGGGCCTAACTGAAGCGCTCAGACGGGGAGTTCTAAAAAGCCTGGTGTGCAGTGGTGCTTGTGCTGGGCTTTGAAGGACCGACCAGGGCTAGGGGGTGTTGGTTGTAGCCTGGGACGGTTCTCCCCACCCCTCTGCTGCTGCAGAAGCCATGAGTGGGAAACAAGCGTCTGCTGAGATGCCTTGCTGTTCAGAGAGAGGTTCCTTGGAGAGCAAACCATCATTCCCCACAGGCCAGGACAGTGGGGGGGGGGGGTCGAGGAAGGTCAGGGCTGCAGGACAGTGTGTGGCTATCGAGGCCCCCAGGTCCAGGCCTCATCCAAGGCTCTGCCATGATGGTGCCTAGAGGGAACCTTCTGGATGACCAGTCTCTCAACCAGCTGGTCAGTGCCTTATCTGAGACTGTATAGCCTACAAGGCCTACAATAGTTACTATCTGGTCAGCAAAAGTTTGCTGACTCCCACGCTGGAGTAATAAAAATACTAACAAAGACACTAATTTTTGAGCTTTTGCCATCTATCCGTTGCTATGCTTCGAACTTTGCCAAAGTTCTGTCCCTAATCAACCAGGCGGAAGTGACACCAGGACTATGGCATTTACAGGCAAGAGAACTGAGGCTTAGAGTAGCTCAGTGACCCGCGTGGGGTCGCCCACCTGGGACCTGGCAGGCTCGGCCTTGAGGCCAGGTCAGTCTGGTTGGAAATCCCGGGTCGTCCTCCGGCCGCTGTGGGATGTAAGGGCCCGACAATGCCCGAGACAGCAGTCAGCGGCGCCTTTCCTGATGAGCCCCGAGGGAGGGGAGAGTACGCTTTCACGCCCCACCTGCTCCACTTCTTGCTAGGATATCTTCTTCACCTTATCTTCCTCTCTTTCCCAGCCTCAGCAAATTGATAAACACTGACAGCCACTGTCAGCTGGACCCTGGCTGTTCCCGAGCACACTCTCTAATTAGTGTGTGATTTGGGACTTGTGTGGAAGCACAGCCTGGACCCCCCGGGGAAGAGGAACCCGACACTTTGGTTTGTTCAGCTGGTAGACCAGCTTCCTCAGGAGATGGAGGGGCTCCACCCCAGGGCTTCGGAGAGTCTGGTGCTGCTTCCCAATCGTAGAAATGCAGCCTATCTGGGCAGAAATCCCAGGCACCTAACCTGTTTCCATCCTTTCCCCTAGAAGAACAAAAGAGATTCATTCATTCCACAAATACTTTGCCCGGTTCCCACCATGTGCCAGGTCCAGTGCTGGGAGCTGGGGACACAGCAGTGATGAAGACAAAAGACCTGCCCTCACGGCTCATCCATCCTAATGATCGTTACACTCATCGTAGCCGTCACTGTTCCGCAAATATACTCGCACATCCACTTGGACCGCTGGCCTGCTTGCCGCAAATGTGAACAATCTCAGAGAGCGGCGTGGAGTCAGAAGTCTGAGATGGGGCTCTCGGTGTATGAGAGCCCCAAGGCCAGGCTAGGGAGCCCCTTGCCCCCACTAGCTGGAGGGTGCGGGCCGATTTGAACAAAGTGGGCGGAGCCATCAGTTGCTGGAGCCCACGTGGTTTTCTTCTCTTGGTCAGAATGGGTTAAAGGAGGTGCCAGTGGTGCCCCAGTTCTCACCGGAAGACACTCAGCCAAAAGTGGCATGTGCGTCACCAGGGACCACGGAGTGACCCACTCCAAGGGCGGCTGGAATGATTCATTGAGAACCCAAGAGAAAGACGCAGGGGTGGTGCGTGCGGGAAAAAACAGAGAAAAGATGGAGAAAGAAAGCGGGTTATTTTTGTCAGCAGGTACTTTAAACAGCAGAGCCGAGGGGGCAGATGCTGTTCAAATTCTCCAGCTGCGGCACAGCCAGCTGGGCTCATCTGGGGCTCGCGGCTCCCTACACAGAGGTGATGAGCCCTTCACGGGCTGATGGGCCCAGGCTGCTCTCATTTGGTCACCCTGTGGCCACAGCCCAGGCCAACAACTGTGGACCTCCAATAAGTGATCTTGAATCAGGAGGCTGGTGCCCATCCCAGCTCAGCTGCCACCCCTCAGTACACATGCCTGAACTCAGTTCCTTTACTGTGAAATGAGAGGTCTGTCCACCGAGGATGCTGGAGGACCACGGGTTTAGGACTGGGGCTTTGCTATTAAACCAGACCCCCGTTCAAGGCTCAGTTTTGCTACTTACTGGCTACATGACCTCAGGCAGTGAAGGGCCCTCTCTGAGCATCAGGGTCTTTTGCTTAAAATGGGAACGAGGTCAGTATCCCTCTTACTCTTGTTGTCAAGATTAAATGGAACGTCTCACCTTTCCTTCTCACAAATATGTATTGTGCGTCAGCTGTGTGCTAGGTGCTGGGGATGGCTTTGCGGAGATGAAGGCTTGGGGGATAGATACTGTAATTGCACCCAGCACAGAGTGTGTCATGTTAGCTGCTACCCTTAATGCCATTACCAAATTCCTGGCATCTCCCAGAATCATTCCATCACATAACTAGCCACTTAGAGCTAGTTGAATCATTCCGGTCCTATTGAAGATATGTTTCCCGGATGAAAGGTGTGACCCCGGCAGAGGGCTGGCCAGCTACTCCATCCAGCTTCACTCCCTAAGCACAGACTGGCTCCCATTCACCCAGAAACAATGTTCCCACTTAATCAACTCAAGAAGTAGTCATTGTCCTTTCTTGATAACTAATGGTAATCGTCAAAGCAAGGGGACAGATGCTGTCGTGTGTGCCAGGCACTGTTCTAAGCCGTTAAATAATTACTCATTTAATTTTCACAACCCCATTGGGTGGAAATATTATTGTTCCCATTTTACAGATGAGGAAATGGAAGTTTTGGAAAGAGAAATAACTTGCCTAAGGTCACACAGCTAGTAAATGGTAAGATTGGAACTGAGACCAGACAAACAATTCTAGAGTCTATACTCTTAGCACTACCCTTGGGCTGTGACCTGCCTCCTGTGGTGTCTCTTTCACTCGTTTTCCTCCCTCAATGGATTTGTTGAAATTCCAAGCAAACTCTTGTAGGAATTTCAGTGGAGACACTCTGTAAAGCTGCCGGTGGGGGCTGGACATGCTGGACGCTTGCCGGAGGCATCAGCACCTCCCGCAAATCAGTTACTGCCAGTGTCTCTGGTGTGGTACCACCCCTCACAGGCCCGGCCTTTTGTTGACACGGTTGGCCATGCTGTTGACCAAGCCAGGCCCTGTTCAGCATTAGTACATCGCATTATTGACTCTCTCAGCCCTGCAGGGCCTGGAAGGGATTATTTTTTCAAGCAGAGTAATGTCTTACAGCAGCCCGTTGCCCCAGGGACCTGATCAGTCAATGCAGTGGTTCTCAAACTCTGTTCCCTAGAACCCTAGGGCTCTATACAGACGCCCCAGGAGCCGGGGGCGGGGGTGATGGAGGTGAGAGGGGGTCCAGGCCCTCTGGCCCTGCCACGTCCTGAATGGCATCTCTTTGATCTGTTTTATATGTTGGATTTGAATATAAACTATTTGGAAAATCACGTTTTGTGGCAAATGAAAAAAACTTGTATTGAAACACATGCTACACAGAACTCTGTACCTTCCTCCCTTCTGCGAGGGTGGAGAAAGTAATGCTGATGGGTAAATTCTTTCCAGGATGCCCGTTGGATACAAGGCTAGTGTGATCCCAGCCTCAGCGATGGTGAGGGAGTCAGAAGGCATCCCTAAATGAGACTCACCTCCTGCATCCCCTCTTCTGTTTCAGGAGCCGTCTGCAGGGACGGGAGAGGTCCTTCTCTCCATCAGCTACCTCCCGGCTGCCAACCGCCTCCTACTGGTGCTGATTAAGGCCAAGAACCTCCATGCTAATCAGTCCAAGGAGCTCCTGGGGAAGGGTGAGTGAGGTGTGAGAGGGGAGCTAGGGCCCCCTCCCACCGCGAGGGGGGGTGGCACCTGGGAGGCAGTGGGCACAGGTGAGCAGGGATGTGGAACATGAGTGCGTTTGTGGAGTCAGCCTCAGCTGTGTCCTCCACCCCAGACATACAAACCAATTTGGAAGGACACACTCATTTCTCTAAAGTCACATGCATTCACTCCTGCGCCAATCCCACCCACTGGGGCCCAGGAATGAGCTACCTGGGGCTCCCTGTGTTGCGGATCCATCACGAGAAGAATCAGCCTTACCCATGGGTCATAGGAAGCCAAGAATCAGACTGCAGCCAGGGAGTGGAGTGTCTGGGCTGTAGGGAAAACTTAGGCCAGCCCTGGCTGGACCCACCTTCCAGGCCGGTGTCCGGAAGCCAGGGTTCTCCCTCTCCAGTTTCAGGTAGCCACCACTCTACTCCCCACACCCACCCTAGGCTCCCCTCTCTTCCCAGCCTTTGCCAGCCTGCCATCCCCACACCAGCTGAGTGTGGGTGACAGCAGACGGCGTGTGGGTGCACAGGCTAAGGGGGCGTCTGTGCATATACCCGAATAAACATCTCTTCAGCACTCTGGAAGCCTTGGCTTCTCCTTCTGGACACCCCAGCACAGGCCCCAAGTCTTAAGGACCAAACAGCCTCTCTTGTCAGAGCAGAAAAGCAACATTGGTCAGCCCTATGATACCTGGATCCGGAGCCAAGTGCTCAGAGCAGGATATAAATAAATAGATATTTATAGCAGCAAACAAATAAAGAATTGCCTCTGCATTCAGAACCTTTGAGCAAGAGATTTTTGGCGAATGAAATCAGAAGAGTTGGTCTGGCTGACAGATTCCTGCGCCAAAGGTCAGAATTCATTGCAATTTCCTCATCCCTTCCAGACAATACTTCGCCTCCTCCTCCGTTTTTTTTTTTTTAAATTTTTATAGCTCCTGTCAGGACAATTACAGCTCAACACTTTATCTCTCAAATATCTCTGCTGAAATAACAAACTAACCACCTGGGGGTGATAATTATAGCAATAAATACAGAGTAACAATTATTCTCACATTGGCTTCGGAAACCCTGACTAATGAAAACACAGTCTGAGTCCTGAGCCTCGGGATGTTACGAGAAAGCTTGTCTAGTGGCCTGTTGGCCAGTCTCCTGGGGTGGAGAGCTCTACGGGGGGTCAAGGCAGGCTGCCCTCACCCTCCGCATGAGGTCGGGATCCTCAAGTACAACTTGCAGAAGAACAGATGAGAAGAACTCAACCAACCAGCAGGAGACCTGCTATCCTAGGAACAGACAAAAACGCCTGGACGGAGAACCGAGGGGATGAAGACATACGGATGGTTTAGCGTTTCTGGGCTGAGTTTAAAATCAAGCTGCAGGGGCTTTCCTGGTGGCACAGTGGTTGAGAGTCCGCCTGCCGATGCAGGGGACGCGGGTTCGTGCCCCGGTCCGGGAAGATCCCACAGGCCGCGGAGCGGCTGGACCCGTGAGCCGTGGCCGCTGAGCCTGCGCATCCGGAGCCTGTGCTCCGCAACGGGAGAGGCCACAACAGTGAGAGGCCCGCGTACCGCAAAAAAAAAAAAAAAAAAAATGAAGCTGCAGGACGTCTGAGCCATCGTCCTGGGCCTGGTTTGATGTGGGACGTGAAGGCTCTCAGAAGGGCTCATGAGGTTAGGCCACCTTCCTGGCTGTACCTTAGCGTGACCCAGTCATGGGCCGCCTGATGACCAGCCATATATATTGTGCTACAGTCTGTTCTCCACACTTGAGGCAGGAGCTTCTGCCGTATCCCCATGTCTAGATCAGTGTCTGCTGTACGGTGGGCATTTAATAGCTGTTGAGTGAATACATGGCCCATGAGGTGGGGGAGGGGTGGTAGAGAGGGTGCCTCAGTGCAGATCTTGAGCCAGAGAGCCTGTCTCTCCATCCCCAAGAGGGAATATCGTCCCACGCCCCAGAAGCTCACTCTCGGCCCTTCTCTCTGTCTCTGTCCCCCTGTCTCTCCCCAGATGTCTCTGTCAAGGTGACCTTGAAGCACCAGGCTCGGAAGCTGAAGAAGAAGCAGACGAAACGCGCCAAGCACAAGATCAACCCCGTGTGGAACGAGATGATCATGTTTGAGCTGCCGGATGACCTGCTGCGGGCCTCCAGTGTGGAGCTGGACGTGCTGGGCCAGGGCGCCGAGGGGCAGAGCTGCCCGCTTGGGCGCTGCAGCCTGGGCCTGCACGCCTCGGGCTCCGAGCGCAGCCACTGGGAGGAGATGCTGAAGAACCCGCGCCGGCAGATCGCCATGTGGCACCAGCTGCGCCCGTAGCCAGCCACCCCGGCCGCCACCCTCCTCGGGCACAGCCCGCTCCCAGCCCCACTGTCCTCCACGACCTCCTCTTGTGCCCCCTTCGCATTCTGACACCAGAAGACAGATGTGTGTGTGAAGACCAGGACCCTCTTCCTCTCCCATCACACTCCTGTTTCTTAAAAACAAGCAAGGCCGGGCAGGGCGGAGACGGGACATTTGGGTCAGGAGGAATGCGTTTTGCTTACCTGTGTGATTGAAGAGACGCTTATCGTATACGGTCTGTGTGCAGGTTTTGCACCGGGGGTCAGGCCAGATGCAGGGAATGCTTAATCTGGGGAATCATGGTTGCAAGGAATGTGGCTTTTTAAAAATAAGTGTGTCAAAAAGGATGACAGAAATGATGTATCCTGGATCATCTCATAAGAATTAGAGATTGTCAGGGCGGATGGAATCTTAGCCAGCATGAAATCGTGCTACAGACCCCAGGCACTAACTAACCCAGCAGTTCTCAAACCTTAGTGCGTGGAGAATCACCAGCAGATTCCCAGGCCCTGTTCTAGACATTCCGAATCCGTAATCCTGGCTGCACCCCAGGAGGCTGCATTTTTAACAAACACAGAGTAGTTTGCCTGCCAAGGTTGGAGCGCCGCACTTGGAGAGATCCCTTTTACAACATCCCAGGCAGGATTTCACAGTCCTCGTCAGGCCCCCAACACCCTGGGGCTGCCAGTGTCAGTGCTGGACATCCTAACTGTTCGTGTAAAATATAGGAGCCTCCATTTTTAATGTCATCATTTGAATTCTTAATGTTTTCATCTGTGCTTTTCAGATCCTGCTCTTGGACTGAATTTTGTGCTTTCTATTGAATAATTGTATTGTTTCATCTCAAAATCAGTTTATGTTATACTTGGGGAGACCTTCCCTGACCAGGAATAGGTGGGATCCCCTGTTAGTTATTGGGTGCTGGTTGTCATGTCCACCAGCATCACCGAAGTGACCCTCTGAGTCAAACGCATCCCTTCTCAGTATACCAGCCACTTGAGGAGAAATTCAGTTTGGGGCACATAATTTAGTCTGGCTCTGTGGAGGTAGAGAAGGAAAGGAGGTCTTTTGCAAATGTGCCCCTGTCCCTCTGTTTTTAGGACCTATCACTTTCATTAGTAAGTAATGAGCAGCTAGGTTTCAAATCACTACCTAATTATTCCAAATAGCTGTCCACATCATTAATCATATTATGAGCCTTGCTGAGTGGTTATAATCTCTGCCTGGGAACCAGGATTCCTGGGTTCTGTTGTTGACCATCCATAAAATAGGACTAGTGACGTGGCAGCTCTGTCTCTGTGAATGATGTGATAGATGAAATTGTGCTTGAGAGCTATAGGCATCCCTGGCTAGAAACAAACTCCGAGGCCACCAGCAGATCATCTTTAAGCTTCATGTTGGCAACTGACCATGCCCGGAAAGCGCCAGAGTCATCCCAGGCATTTCCAGAACCATGGATTCTACATTTGGACTCTTTAATACTGACATCTAAACTCCTTCAGATGTCACCCAGGCCCCTGACCTAAAAATGAATTCCTTTCCTTCAGTCCTTTAACAAGTCAAATCATTCTTGGTCTCTCCCTAAGAATCTGAGTAGAGATATATCAACGTTTTGTCGTTATTTTTCCCTTTCTGGACAGAAGTAGAAAAGCATTTAGAAATAATTTCCACCTATCCCCTGAAGAAACAGAAAAATATCTAATCCCTCTCAAATGGGAAATTCTTTCACGTAACTGGAAATCTCTCCCATTAAGGCTGACCACCGTCTGCCAAGTATTTTTAGACAAGGCATTTGTTAGTGGTTTCCTATGACATGTTTTTGAGAACCCCCTCACCATTCTGGTCTCCCTTTTTTGGTTGGCATGCTGAAACAGAACAAAACATTCCCTATGTAAGCTGACCAGTACTCTCTTCTTGGTAATATCTTCTACTCCAATCTAAAAAAGTCTGGATTCTAGACTTAAATTCAGGAGACACGGGTTCTACTTCCTTATAAGTCCATTCACCTGCCTTACAGTCACACCAAAGGATGTTTGAGGTGAGTTAATGGGGCCCTTAATCCCAGAATACCAACTCCACCCACAGTCATCCTATCATGAGGCATTCATTTCTTTGGATCTCAAAGGTTTAGTGATGGGAGTCAAATGTCACTGCTTAACATGTTAGGTGTCAGCCATCACCTCACTTAACAAGGTTGTATAGAAATGAGGCAGATTTTGCAGGGGTTTTTGCCTGTTGTGTTCACTGGTATATTCCAAATGCCTAGAATAGAACTGGCTCATGCACCCTCAATAAATATTTGTTGAATGAATTGATGAATGAAGACTGGATAGGGGAGTAGGCAGGAAAAGACACATTTTTAGGTAAACGGCATAAAAATCAGAGTCCTAGCTGAGTTCTCAATGGTAAAGTCATCAGACACCTCAGCAGTTGGCCTAGAAATTCATGACATTGAGTATTACCCTTCACCTAATGACAATTTATAGCTCACTATGTAAATGTAATTAACGATAGACGAGATTATAAAAGCCGTGCTTTTCCACCAAAACTCCAGCTCAGTGAATTTTAAATTACCCAGAGATATCAGACTGCCGGATGAAAAAACTTCACTAATCTTTGCATCAGCTTACCTTGTACGAGATACACTTGCAATTTACTACCACGTTAGAGTAATCGAGTCTGTGTGAATGCATCTGGTGGTTTTTTTTTTTTTTGAAAGGAACACCTTGTCCTTTGCCAGGAAGCATTTTCTAAGAAGTGCATGAATCAGAGGTGAATTGGGAGTCGAATCTCATTAACCTGCAACTCACTCCTTGCCTCAAATCAGTATATATTTGTTGAGTGCCTATTGATCAAGACCTTGCACACATCTGTCCGTTTCAATCTGAGATGTGACTCTTGGTGTGGATTCAATGGCAAATCACCCCAAACAAAACTATGTAGAGAGAACAGTTTGGGAGAGCAGTTCTTCAGGGGCAATTCCTTTGGGATGTAAAGGAGTCCTGGGCAGCTTAAGTCAAATGGAGGTGAGGACCACCAAAAGAGAGACCTAGTCCTTGGGATTTGTATTTGCTGCCTGTGTTCCTGTTGTCAATTCTAAGTGTGTGTCTGTTTTGTAATCATGAACCGAAGCACAAAAAGACGCATGAGATATTGTAGTCACATATCTGGTGTCACACTTTGGAGCAAAAATCTTGCAGTGGTAAATAAATAATTTCCAACAGGGTCGCTGCCTGGTGTTTTTTGTTCCCTTTTACTTAATATTTTAGACATATAAAATGCAGAAAAAATCATTTGATAAACACTCGTGAACCCCTGCCACGTTTTATAAAACTTGACAAATACAGTTGAAATCCGCTCAGCCTTTCACTCAGAAGACCACCGTCCTGAATTTTGGGTTTCTCACCTCAAACCTTTCTTTATCTTTTTACTACCTGTACCTGTAAACCGTGAGCACTACAGAATATTTCGTGTTTTTTATTTTAAATCGCATCACATTATTTTTGCTCTACATTAAAATGTTGAGCTTTATCCATGCATATTTATTTAGCTCTAGTTCCTTTATTTTTTTTGCTGCTGTGTTATTTTCCATTGCGTGAATATATCACAGTCCCATTCTCCTGTTGACGTATGTTTAGATATTTCTTTCCTTTTTTTTTTCCGTTAGAGGAAATGCTGCTGTGAACATTCTTGGGCAAGGCCTCGTGGGGATTTAGCTTTATTCTTGAGAAGAAAAATCAGGTGGAAGCTAGAGACCTTCTCTAACATCCCCCGAAGTGGTACTCCCATCACTGGAAGAGTCAGGGCAGTGGCTTGGGGTTCACCTGTGCTCCAGGTGGTGGGCAGGGACAAGGGAACTTCCAGAATCCTGTCATCTTAGGCCCTCCTGGTGGTTGCTGCAGCCCTGGCTTCCAGAAGGGGCTCAGGCACTAAGCCAGGGGAAGGGCCTGAATTTTCAAGTCAGTAGGCAATCAGCCAGGTCACATGGAATTAAAACCAAAGGCTCTTAAAGAGGACAAATGAGCCATAAAGAAAGGCTTTGCTTTTCAAGTCTGTGCATGTAATTCCTTATTTTATATCATATACATATTTGTTACCTTTTAATTACAGCCAGGATTTAAATTTCCATAATTAAATAGAAGTGGGTTTTATCCCACGTAGCCGAATACTGTGTAGACTATGTTTCACAGGCAACTACGAATATGGCTCCTGGAGCCCAAAACTAATATTTGAGAGTCTGGGTTTATATAAAAGAGAAACGGAAGAGGCAAGAAGGGTTCAGGAATCGTTTTATACGGGGCTTCCCCCTGAACCGCCTGCTCCTGCCTATGAAATAACTCAAATCTAGAGCACTGCATTTAGGAGCTGAGAACCTGCAACCCAGCCGGGCTTTGTCACTGCCATCTTCATGGCCCTGGTCACGTCACTTGCCTCTGGGCTTGTGCCCGCATCTGTAAAATAAATGTGGACAAAATGATCACTCTTCAAGTTTGAACATTTTGTGATTTGGGAATTGAGAATTTTCACATGTATCTCTGGCCTCCAATCTCATGCATAAAATGGACTAAACCCACATACACGTGTACCTGCCTTCCCTGCCCCGGGCCTGGTGTCCTGACAGCCACCCGCTCCTCCAGACAGTATGTGATGTTACCTGAGGCTCTGAGTCAGCCTCTTCTCATTTGCTTAATTGTTAATGGAGCCGGTGGTAATTTTCCACCCAAGAGTTTCTATTTTTTCAGAGCCGGTTAGAAGCCCAACATTTCAAGAGCTTGGAACCCTGGCATCTGTTCTGTCTCCCTCCCTGGGCAGATGCCTGGCAAGGACAGAGCCATGCGATGTGGTTGTGGATGGATTTAGGGGGTTGAGTGTTTTCTTGGTACCAGCCTTGGAGAAGGCCCCCTGTGCCCCTCCCTCATCTCCTGCAGGTGAGCCAGCACAGATGGTCCCTGGCGGGGACCCTGGCAGCTTCCCAA